GGTGGAGGAAGTGGAGGCAATCTGCCCCTGGTGGTGCGCCGATCCGGTGAGTGGTCAGCAGATGGAATTTGGGGACAGGAGTTTGTGTTTGAAGGTGCACAGCGCGCAGATTCCAATATTGATGACTTTGCAATAACTATCTGAACTCACGTGCCAAGGGCCGTAGTTGCAAGGAACTTCGGGACTGTCTGACATTCTGATAGATGCAACGTGACTTAAGATCTTCGAGGTAGCCAGTACATACAGACAGTATATCTTGTATGTTTTTCACTGCAGTCCCTGTGCTTTTGCTTTGATCCACCCTAGTGGCGTTCAAGATATGGCTTCCAACAAATTGTAAGGGCTTGATGTGTCTTTGAACGCGCCGTAATTCCGATAGAAGGTTTGAATATGAGTTGACCGGATATTGCGCGCAGAGTATTGTGAGTTCGCGAGTGAATTTTAAGAACTCTTACAGCTTTTTGAAGAACAGGATAGGGAACTTTTGGTTTTTGACGACATAGTGACGATTATGCATCAATGTCTTGTAGAGGACGGCGAGGTCACCGTGAACGATGTGGACAAGCAGTTCTTCCGACCCAAGAAGGGAGACGACATCGTAAGTGAATTTCTATGAATAAGGAGTCCATGGCAGTTTCTCACTGCAAGCACAGTCTTCGGAGCTCAGATTCAATTGAACTTGTTGATTCGGTGCTCTTTGAACTGCCTCAAATGCTTTAGGATGCTCCTCCAAACTGAACATGCCTTGTTGCATCTTTCAGAGTGTGGAAAGGGCCATGGCTGTGGCCTGTATGATGGGGGAGTGCGCCGGCGCCGGCATGTACCCGACAAAGGAGGAGCTGGTGTACTGGCGAGCTGTTTATGAGGGCATGGAGCGCAATGATGCTGAGTCAGGTGAAAAGCACGACCCCATGGTTGTGTTCAAGACCAAGACCAACTACAACTACTGCGCCACCGAGCACCTGAAGGCCTGCTCCTCCAAGAGGGGGGAGTTGTCTGGATCAAAGGGGATCCGGGGCGTGTTTGAGTCTAACACAAGCTTCAACCTATCAAGGGCAAAGACCGTGGAAGATGTGGCGGAGATGACGCCCTGGCCGAGACCCTGAAGGGTGAGGCAAAGTCTGTCTATCTGTTTGTGTTTACCGTTGATAAAAATACTTTGCGCGCATTGATCCAGTACACTTGCGAAGGATTGATCAATCTTGATATGTGAAGGTTTGCACAGCTTTTAACTGTCATCTTTGAGCACGCAGGTCTTTTGCTGTGTTGACTTGCTTCTTGCGGTGTTGCAACTTGCATTGAAGCTGCTCGCGGTAGCTGCAACATACATACGAGCGGCTTTTAATGTACCCCATTTTTTTTCATGAAATGTTGCAGACGGCAAATGGCACACCGACGCCGACGGGGTGCCCTTCTCCTCCATCCTGTTCGTGCAAATCTGCCGTCAGGTCTGGAAGAAAGACGACTGCTCGCTCACAGCCGAGCAGCTCGTGTGGACTTGCCTCGTGGTAAGGAGTCTTCTTGATGTCCGAGTATTCTTTTTGGGGAACTTGGAGCTCCAGAGTACTTGGAATTGTTGAAATTTGGAGTTTGTCGACTTTGATGGCACCTTCCTGCATCCCGAATTGTGTCGTGTCTTCTCCAAGCGTACGAGTCTGACAGATGTCCTTCTTATCAGCACATTGTTAGGGTCCAGGCTGTAATGATTCAATTGGGTCCTCTTAAACAAAACGTTTGAGGCCGCTCTCTTCCGTGATCTGCCATTTAATTCTAAAATTCCGTTACCATGTGCAGGTCAAATTGTTCCTCGTGAACAAGTCATTCGACCACAACGACCAGGTCAACGCAGACGACATGGATGACTTGGCGGAAGTGGTGCTTGACGAGTTCTCAAAGGCGAAGAGCGCCAAGAAGCCCATGAAGGTGAAGGTGCTCCCTCTGGACAAGACGGTGGACCTTGCGCTCCTGACGGCGGCGTACCTGACGGAAGGCATGGCCTGCATTGGCAGTAAGGGCCGCCTGCGCCAGGAGAGGAAGAAGAGGCCCAGTGCTAGGGAGAAGCGCAACCGTGCTCCTTACGAGGCCGTGAACCGGATGGTTTCCGAGGAGCCTGAAGAAGCGGCGGAGGCGGAAGCCCCAACACAGGAAGTGCCGCCTTAGTTGGTATTGCTGGTGCGTTAGTATTCGCCAGTTTTTGTACTCAAACACTTGTATTGTAAACCGTGGTCGTGTATCTCCAACTTTGCGCCCAAGTGTGAACCTCAGTCAATTCCATTATATTGTAGTTAGATGTCGAGACTGCGTAGGGCGCGTACGATCCGACGAAGCAAAGTTTCGGTCGGAAATCTGACCGTACGCGCCTCGTACGGCACCGCAATCATTGTCCGGCATGACGCGGCATAAAATGACGGCATGTGTGCGGCATGAATGTACGGCCTATGATTGAATGTCCGGCACTACCGTGCGGCGTACAAGCGGGACCTTTGCGGCGCACCACCGGCCAATACATCGCCGCATAGGTGCCGCATCTCCCCCGCTGCGGCACCGCAGGCATGCGCCGAGCCCCAACCGGCCGAAAGTCATGCCGCGCCGGCCATTCTGGTGCCGCCTAAGTGCCGGCTTGTGCCGGTGACATGCCGCAGGTCAGGCCGACCCGGCGCACCGCGGCACCGCTGGGTGCACCGTTACGGCACTCCCCGGCGCCGCTCGCGTGCCCGCGGCGGCAGCTCTCCGGTGCCGCCCTTCCACCGTCTGCATGCCGGCGGTGGTGCCGCTCCAAGGTAAGAGGCCCCGGATTGCTGCCGCCCGGCGCGCTCGGCGGCGCCGCATCACACGGCCGGTCTATCTCCGCTCCATGCCCGGCAGTTCCGGGGCGAGCACGGTTGCCGGACGGTATAGGGGTGCCGTCTTGGTGCCGCGGGTGCTGACGGCAACCCTGCGGCATAGAGCCGGCGACGTAGGAAATTTCCGATGAAATGCGGCAAGGGACGCCACGAGCGCTGCAAGCGGCGCCTTCGACGCAAGGAGCGGGGCGTGTGCAACCGGCGGCGCCGCGTGCGCCTATTCCCAACCTTCGTGGAAACATCCTCCTTCCCGGATAGCTCAACTTAAGGGAGGTCATGCAACTCAATACATGGTGCTACTGGTCAGCTCACTTAACCACTAATCATCCCACCGCCTCCAATGGTGCACAACCTTTCAGCTGCAACACGAAAGAGAGTATGTATCACACTCTGCCATCAACCCACCACTAGCAGTGTGCTGTACAAGAATTCAACATATGGGTCAACCTGCCGCCATCTTTCAACGTCGGAGCATCGCACCAGGCGATCGTTCCCCTACATGGACCATTCACTTACAATCTCTCTACTCAAGCTTTTTGCTCGTCGATCTCTACTTGCTTACGCACGGCGCATTGTTACAAGTTCATTTGAACTCGTGAACAGACTCTTCCTAGCTTCAGAACTGCATCAGAAAGCTTGATGACACCCTTATAACAGCTGTTAAAGTTTGATACGAGAAAAGATAAGTGTCGCGGCATACCAATAAGAAAACATTTCAAAACATCGATGATACACAAAGAAAGGTCGTTTTACCTCGATGCTTGAATCAGCAGAGGAACATGCTACCACACCCAGAGGCGCCGCAGCGCTTTGCGCTATCGTCAAATGAGCTCTCTTCCCGACCCAGATAGACCCCCGTCCAAGAAACCCGCCCCACCAAAATATTCCTATTAATGACCCCCCCATGGCGCAAGCGTAAGAACAGAGCCGTCAGTACTGCATGCTTGGATACCAAAAGCGGAGTATCCGACACACAGATGACCTGCACGCCAGCACTATCAAGAAGCCCAGCTGAAACTATTCCTCAAGGGCTCAAGCGAGCCTTTGATAGCACTCTTCGTGTTCGTCTGTTTCTCTCTTGGGCTGACTTGCTGTGGGCTTGCTTGCAGCTTCCCTCTCAATATTACCCCTGATTCACCAATCAATCACCAACGCATTAAAAATCTCTGAAGCCAACGAGCCCAGTATGTGCAACCGTAGCAAATCTACTTACCAGTTAGTAATCCTACCTTGTATCTGCTTGTAGCACATTTCGAGCCTGCCAAATGTGACTGCCCAGCCTCTCCGAGGGTACCCTCGATTTTCAAATCGAAGCCGAAGGATGACAGCAAAACCCCTGCAAACAAATCACCGCCCAGCATTTCAAGCTTGGCAGGCAGTTAGGTGGTCTTCGACATTTTTGACCCGCCACTGGTAATAGCTGAGCTCAGCCTGTACGTAGCTAAGCTCCCGGCGGGCTCCCGACCTTGGCCCACTGAAACAGAGACCCGATCAGCCAGTGTGATCGGCCGAGCCCAAAGCCTGCTACCAGTGGCCTTGCAACCGGGGGCGTTCTCGCAAGGAGACTTCGCACAATTTTTGCATGATGTTTGGAGACTTTCGCAAAATGCTGCGCGCAATCATGACCAGCGACCCTTGGGGCAGTTTTAATGTTCCGAAATCCGCATGCGCCTGGCATGCCAATAGCCAACTCTCAAGGTCACGGTACGCACCGTTTACCATGGTGCACATCCACGTGACTGGTACGAAAGACCATCATAGCCCGAGCGGCCGCGGCAAACTTGCACTCAGGGCACATTCGTAAGATGAATATGGTGGCTTGGCCGGCCAGCCGATCGATGGATCATGGTTTAAATGACATCCAAAAAAGGTTTGCAACAAACAAAAGAAAACTCCGAAGCATCGAACCCAAAAACTCGTTGAAAAGGAGTACTCGAGCAATTCAGACCTGGAAACGCGCGAAATGACCGTTCGACATATAAAACCTGCTTAATTGAGTGGCCCAGTCTGCAGCGCCAGCTTCTTTACATTCCAAACTCTATGATGGATTGCTATAGCTGTTTTTGATAAATTAACGAACCGAGCTAAAAGTTGGGGCGCAGCACCGGCGGGAGCACGGCGCAGGGCCAAGTTAATTTGAGTGCGATTTGTGCCCGGTCTTTGTGCAAAACCTGCTGCAACTTTCCCCTGCGGCAGCACATGTCACGTACACGGATCCTCGACTGCGGAGTTTCGCGGAGTACAGCGGGCTAACACCGAGCTGGTATCATGTCGGTACCACACCGCGACCGTGGTGCGTACATGGTGGCACCACGAACGGTACGCGCAATCGGAGAATTTGACCCCGTCGACACTGTACAAATCAAATTTGGACAACACGGTACCTGCAGAGGAACACCGCAGAGGTACTCGGATGTTGCCCGGTTTCAGCATGGATGTCCGCAAAAAACGGTGCTTCTTCGGAGAAATTATGGCTCTTTGAAAGTACCGGTAGTTCCCCGGGACCCGAATATCCGGCCGCGCTCCCAGTGCTTGCAGGCTCTCCTTTGCTCTCCTACAGTCCTACTGGGCTGCGCTTAGAACCTAGATTGCCCGGTGAAGGCTGAAGCCACGGGTTTGAGCCAGCCACTTTGGCACCGAGTACCATGGTCCGTACTATGAGTCGGAGTCGGAGTCTATGACATCTATTGCATGCGGTACCAACCTACCGTGGTTCCTATCTAAATTTTGCGGGTACGGTACCAGGCAAAGTACCTACTACCATACCTACTTAGAACGAAACCACACTTGTACCGGTACACTCAGACTGCCAAATGTATACCTAGATACCTGTCAGCCAATTTGAAAATTGGATGAACGGCCCTTCGAATTTCTTTTCGGGCCCGGCAACCGTCGATTACAGCCGCGATGTGCCAATTGACGCCTAATGTGGATGCTCCCAAACAAGAAATGCATTGGCGAAGGTACCTATACGGTACTCTTAAATGGATGTACCTACTGTACTCTACCGGGTAATGGTACAAAACTTAGCTGTCTTAGCTCAGCTGGATGACCGGAGCTGGATTGCAGGGTTGAATCTTGAATGTAAACATGCGAGCATAGGCTTGGCCTGCTTGGCGGCCACAACCTCAGCTCCATGCAGCTCCTAGCATAAAAAGGGGGACACACAGATTCTTCTTGAGGGGCGCCGAATTCCGACTTGCTCATAAGGCACACCAAATGATTTTCTCATGCGGAATGAGAAGCTATGATGCATTCGGGAATATCACAAAAGGTTGTTTCCAACTTTGTGAAGAGCGGCATGTCTGAACGAGAGTTGGGTTCCGCAGCCATTGTTGTGAGCCTTGAAGACGATTTTCCGGCCAGTGAAAACCATGTTTGCGTGCGAGCTCTTAGCTCCATGCTCGGAGCCCTAATTTTCTGTACGCAGCCAGTTCGTTGTCACTACAGTGCCAGTGTACTAGCAGCCAGGTACCAACTCGGAGTCATCATAGTACAACTCCGAAAATTCACGGTCCCGGACCGAAATTAATGAACCGAAACCGCGGTGGCACCGGGCTGGCAGTCCGCCGACTCCGCGCAAATTAAGGCTCGGAAATCCCCGTACGTGTGACACGTGAGAAAAGCACCATAATTGCCCCGTGGGCTCGATTGCTGTTGGATTCCACTGATCAGGCTAAGTTCGGGTGCTCAGCAGTTAACCTTCGATCCTATGACCAGCTTTTTGAGTGTCGTGCCATACGACCGGGATAAAGGCTCTGCGGTCTAGTGACTCGTTGCCCGAGTTTGGCAGTTTGGATTCATGCAAGCGCGACAGTCGGGAACCAGGCGCTTCCTGGTTCCCGACTCTTGCGGCGGCACCAACCATGCAGAATATCAACGTCACACCAACACAATCCTTTGGTCAGCCCCAAAAGTGGTCGTTCCAAGTGGTTCGTGATTCTGAAAGGGGAATTTGATGGCGTCAGTGGAGTGATGATGACGCTTTTGGCATAGTTCAACCAATCATTTTGGCATACTACGCATACTCCGCATACTCCGCAGTTGCCCCAAGCACCCAGAGCATTTCGGGTACCTCGGACGACACTTTTCCGAGGCCTCGATCAGCACGTAACTCGCGCCAGCAGCGTATGCTCGCGTCATCCTCGTCGGGCCCTGGGGAACTCCCTCATTTTGCCAGGCTGGGACGTAACCGCGCAAATACTGTTTCGACTGGCAATCGAACAATGCTTGCGGCACCACTGACCTCTGCGCCTGGGCACATGACCAGCTCTGCCGTCGACGTGGTGACGCCACCCGCTCCGCCGACGTCGGGAA